TATCGGCTTATCGAAAATGGAGCACTGAGCGGCTAAGTTGCATTCGTAATGCCTGCAAAGTCGAAAGATCTACATTAATCACGATTCATGTTCTTTTCTCTCTATGACTTCGAGTTCTAATTCTGTTTCTCTGTCTCCTCCGTCTCCTTCTTCTTCTTCTTCTTCTTCGTATTGTAACTGTCAACTGTTAGCCTATTAGGTTTATAGTTTTTTAGTGCTAGCAAATTGTTGTCCACTTTTCATGTTGCTCGAACTTTTATCGTTGCAATTCATGTTGTTGTCAGAGTTGGTTTTTCTCCATTTGCTTCTTTTTTTTTTTTTTTTTTGATATTTTCCTTCGCTTTCAATTCTGGTAGGCCCAAAGTGCACTGAAACCTAAAAATGTTGTTGTTGGCCTTTTTTCCGGCTGCGTTGTTGTTGTTGTTGTTGTTGTTGGCCGTGGTGTATCTGTGTATCGGTATTTGGCATCTGTTACTACATGTGGCATGTATCTGTATCTGCAGCCGCATTTGTATCTCTATCTGTGTCTGACATGAATGTGCGGGGCTTCCAGGCCAAGCCCCGGCCCAGGCGCTTTCGACGTGTTGACATGTTTATCATTGTTATTATTTATGTTTAGATTTGAATGTCAATGTCGATGCCAGATACATGGGCATCGTCATCGGCATCGGCATCGGCATCGTCATCGGCATCGACATTGGCATTGGCATTCGATTGCAGACTTTTTTTCTCTTTCTTTTCTCCCCTAACCAGCGTCGAGCTGGAGGTGAGGGAAAAGTGTTTCGGGTGCCGCCTGTTGTTGTTGGGGTTTATTGTGCGCACTTTGAACTTTGATGGCATTAAGTTGTCAATTTGGGTTTTGACTTGCCAAAGACATAAATCGACAACGAGGCGGGAGAGTTTCAAATGAAAAAGGATTTCTCTTGTTGTGAAGCATGTGAAATCTTTTTAGGCCTGACTGTCGATTGATATCTTTTTCACATTTCCTCGCAACGCACCCACGCCCCCACCGCCCCACACTTCGACCCATGGGACAACGTTCTGTTGACTGTTGACAACTTGAAAGTTTTATTCATTAGCTCAAGCAATTAAGAAAATTCCAAATTTTGATTTCTGCTTTTAGGCATTAAAATATTATGTTCCCAAAAAGCAAGCAGACAAAACTTTTTCGAAAGTGAAAACGAGAACCTTCACCAAAAAAAAAAAAAAAAAATACAAAACAAATGTAAAAAGTGAAAATGAAAATGAAGAAGAAGCAACAGCCCAGTCGAAGAAGAAGAAGAAGGAGAAAAAACACCAAAAAAAAAAAAAGAAAAAACAAAAGAAATTAATTTCCATTGAATTCCAAATGCCACTTGGAAGATGCTTCGCAACAACAAATACAACAACAACAAAAAACAACAACATCGACAACAACTGAAGTCAAACATTCGAAAGACAAAGAAATTTTTTAATTGATTTCACTTAAAGTACCAAAAAAAAGAAGCAAAATATGCTGAAGAAGACAAAGCACAAGAAGAAGAAGAAGCAGCAGCAGCAGAAGCTGAAGAAGCAGGAAAAGTATCAGCAAAAAACAAAAAGCTGTTGTTTTTGGACTTTTGGGAAAGGCCAGTGGCAGAACGAAAGAGGCATATCCATTCGCAGTACACTTGACCATTAAAACGTAAACTCCAACACCAATACATACACACACACACACACCGACACACACACAGACTAATAGTGGGCGAGAGGAGCTTTAATGTGCGAGTCCAAGCGGGCATAATTGGCCATTATGTGGGCCTAAAAAACAGCAGCTGCCGTTGGATGCTCGCAATGGGGGGTGGGGAAGGGGGTGGTCATATTGAAGGGGCGGCCAATTAAAAGTAGCGTGAAATACAATTTGGCAATGGAGCAGCAAACACACAACAACAACAACAACACGAACAATAGCAACAGCCATTTATAGTGCGATAGTCGACTGGCCTGATACCCTGCAGTGACAGAGGGGGAGGCGGAAGGCAAGAGAGAGAAGAGGTTTTATCATAATTGGCATATTGCTACGATAGTGAAGAGCTGCTTTCAGTTGCGAGTTCTTTCCATTTATGTAAGATTTATTTAAAAATCGAAAAATATAAAAGAGCCTCTGTAAAAGAAGCCCTCTTTAGTTTAAATCTTATCTGAAAATCGACCAAAATATAAGAGTCTTTAGTTCTTAGTTTAAATTCCATCTCAACTTATGTAAGACGCATCTGAAAATCGGCAAAATGTAATAAAACCTTCTTAGTTTTAGTCTTATCTTAATCTCTTTGAGCTGCTTCAGACCATCTACAAATATATATGAGAGTCTATATAACAGAACCTCCTTAGTTTTAGTCTCTTTTTACTTTCTTTAGGCTGTATCTGAAAATCGACAAATATATTAACTTAATTTCTTTTATATAACTCTTTCTATATTAATGAAACCTTAAGACCTAAGAGCCTAAGACCTCTTAATTTGCATTCTGAAATTCTCTTATTCTCCACCCTTCACATAGTCTGCCACTCTAGCACATGAACCCCTTTTAATGGCCATTGGCAATGTTTACAGGGTATCAGAACAACAGCATTACAGCGCATTGATATTAAACCATAATGGATTCGAACATATTCAAGTTGAGTTTAGGGATTTCAATAAAATCACGCCCCCAAGGCCCCGTACCCAGAATTAGGCAAATGGAAACAGAAATTAAATACGTTGCCAAAACCCAGCGGCTGTTGCTGAATTTGAGCAGGAATTGGAGCTGGTACGAGAGCAGGGGATTTTATTTATACATATATATAGAATAAGAGAGAGAGGAGAGAGAGGGAGAGAGAGAAAGAGATATTTGTATATATTTCCTTGAATTTTCATTCTAGAGGATTGCGGGAAAAGTTAGTGTAAGCGGATGAGCTTAGCGCAAGAGAAAGGTAGCTATGGGAGCTGGTAAAGCTATTGGGAGTTCTACTCTTGCGTGGTTAAGCGGAGATCCAACATTTTCCGGCTGACCTTTACAGCTGTTGAGATTTGGGCAAGTGTTAAGGGCTTAGTGGGAGTCGGTTGTACAGATTTCGCCATGATTTTTCTTCAGCGTCTGCTACACCTGACCTATGCCAAGACAAAATGTCTTGAACAATGCACAGAAGTTGCGTTGACAACAACAACAACAACTTGACAAATTGAAAATGTGAAAAAATAGAAATTGATTTTCTTTGAAATAGTTTTAGACAAAAACAAAATTATCTAGAGAATTTCTATTTGTTTCTGAACGTGAAAACTGAATGGGAATTGTCATGCCCAGACCGACGACCCCTGCCCAGAGAGAGCGAGAGTGAGAGAGAGAGAGAGAGAGAGGGAGGCAGAGCTGGAGTCCCACAGTTAGACCCATTCCGAGCTGCGTGTCAGACGCTCTATGTAAATTTCTCAATTAGTTGCACAAACAAAGCAAAGAAATCCATTTCCCTGCTGTCATTAATCATGCGGCCCAACTATCTATCCACATACACAGACACACATTCAGTTCCAAACTCAGACGAATGCAGCTCAGCAAGAGTCCAGTTGCCAGTTGCCAGTGCCAGCGCCAGTTCTCAGTTAACACTCACCCAAAAAAATTGCTCTTAGCCAATGCTAATGTGCAGAGCCAAGCCGAGCACACGTACTCATCGCAATGAATAGTACATATATGTACATACATATATTATATATACATACATATATGTTTCAGTAAATGGAAATTTCCAACTTAAATGTTATCGATAATTATTTAAAATTCCATTATTTATGTAGCTATCCAGTCAATTAGGCTGACTTTGACTCGAATATGGTTCAGCTTGAATTGAAAGCTTTCTCGAGTCTGAAATTCTAGGAACTATAGAAAATACCATACACAAAAATTTGAATTGAATTAAATAACTTTTGATATGCATTAGGAAAAAGTACTAATTTATTTCAATTGAAAATTGTTAAAAACTATTTATAAAGCTAAAGCAGATCTTTCAATCAAACTGAATAAACAAACTTGTCATATGGTTATCATACTGTTCATGAGAAATAAACGGTACTCTTCTATTGAAAAGGAATTAATTGTCTGGTATTTGCTTAGACTAGAATACAAAGAAGTAAAATGCAAAAAAAAAAAAAAATTATACCCCGATTTCCCATATAAAAAAAAAAAAACAACAACATGTCATTAGTTTGGGCCAGAATGAAATTGTTGTTGAGGATATTAGGGAGATTGAAAAATGAAGCATTGAAAAATTGCTGTATCTAGAATTTGTAGTGCTTTTCAATGTAAAATCGGGTGTACATAAAAATAGTAGTGCTGAATATCAGACGTGCATAGATACAATGAGTACTACTGGATGAAGTTACAACAAGAAGTTCAAAACAATTATTGTTAAGGAACAAAATAAAAACAAAGTCACATTTTAATATTAAATTTCATTAAGTATTTCATATTTTAGTGAATGCCATGTGTGTGTTAGTGGGTTGATTTCAGCACTGCTTGGTATATATGTAAGAAAAGTCATATACACATATACATACATACGTATAATATGCAAATTGATTCATTTTGTATGCATGCTCTCAATTTAAAACTTCATCATTGAGTTTCTATTTGTTTCGATAGACAAAGGAAGGAACTTTACCTCTCTACATCATTTTTTTTTTTTAATTTTTTTCAAGCCAGACTCATTTACTTTTTCGTTAGCTCAAGCTTAATTGCCGGCAAGAACATTATTTACAGCACTAGCAAAAATAATACCACCAACAAAAACGACAACAGCAACAGCAACAACAACAATCGCAACTGCTGCTACATTGCTGCTGACACTAGTACGCGATTTAGTCGCCCAGTCAAAGTCGTTGCGCTCTCTTTGTCATCTGGCTCTCCTGCCCGCGCTCTCTCTCTCTCTCTCTCCTACACTCTCTCTTTCTCTCTCTTGCGCGCGCGCTCTATTCAGATGAACAGCAAGTCAACTCGTAGCCTCACGATCGTTTGACGCTCTTCTGCGTTCGCTCTCCCTCGCTCTACCGCTCTCGCTGTCGGCGCAGCGTCTGCTGCTGCTGCTGACGCTGCCGCTGCTGCTGCTGCTGGTGCTGGTGCTGGTGCTGGTGCTGCGGCTGGCTCGGAGCCACGACGCCCGCACACACATTTCCAAGCCTCATTCCATAAACAACTGTGAACGTGAACGGTAACGGTGCGTGTGTAGCTGAGCCTCTCTGCCTGAACGTCAGAGCTCGGGATCGTTAAAACGGGGCTCATCTGCCTCTACCCATATTCTGACCCCTCCCACCCTCGCTCCCTCTCTCCAGCCGAGCAAACGCCACAGAAATCAGAAACTTAAATGAAATGAACAGTGACAAGTGCCGTAAAGAGCAACCAAAACAGTTTGAACTTGTTTTTTTTTTTTTTGTATTTTTTGAATTTTTTGGTCTCCGTGTTGTTTTATCTAATTTCTATTTTCGATTGCTATTTCTATTTCTGTGGTGCTCCGTTTTTTTAGTTTTTGTTTTTTGTCGAGTATTTAAAATATACCAAAATATAAGCATACACTATAACGGGATGTACGAGCACTTGACTAATGCTAACACAATTACAGTTATGTGCAATCGCACGAAACGTGCAAAATAAATGTTAAATTTTTTAAGTTTTAACTTGCATTTTTTTTTTGTGCGCGCCAAAAAGCAAAAAACAAAAACAAAAATGTGTCGCATTTAAAAAAAAAATAAATAAAATAAAATAAAAATAAAAAATATTTTTTCACATGTATAGCAAAACGTTTCTTCGTGTGCATTTCTCTTTGGTGATGTGTTTCGCTTTTGGTTTTAGTTTGACCCGATTCCTATTTGAATTTTGTGGACTGTGTAACCAAATGACAAAAGCAACAATAACAAACAAATTCGAGACAACAAAAACAACAACAAAAGCCCAAGCATATCTGTGAAAGGAAACAAAAAGCGAGTGAAATAAAATGCACAAAAAAAAATCAAATAAATTAAAATAAAATAAAATAAAGCTTAATATTCATATAGAGAGACATACATACATACGTACATACATATATCTACATATGTATGTATGTATGTAGATACATGTATGCATGTATTCATGTAAATTGACTTATTTATGTGTTGTGAAACACACGCGACATTTGCTTGTTGTTGTTGCTGCTGTTGGCTATTGTTACAACAGCAACAGGCGCCGATAATTTATAATCTTATATATACATATAATATGTATATAATATATGTTTGTATGCATGTGTATTTATGCATGTTGAAATTATAATCTTTTACAATTTGTCGTTGTTGTTGTTGTCACAACAAAGTGCATACATACATACATATATAAATATATATACTTGCATACATACATATACATACATATACATATACATATAGATTCAATATATTAAATCTTGTTTTTTTTTTTAATATTTTACAATTTTTACAGTTATGTTTTGTATCCACTGTGCGTGCGTTTTCTACTTCGTTTAATACACACTACGAATTCAATTTATTTCCATAAATAATACATATTATTGTTGTTGTTGCTACCGTGTAAAATTGTGACTATAAATTGACTTTTATATTATTTTATTTTCATTTTCATTTCGCCTGTGTGTGTGTGTGTGTTTTTTTTTTCTTGTGTGCAAAATCTTTTTCTTTGTGAACGCGGATTCATCAATGCGTCTGTGTGCGTGTGCCTATGTGCGTCGCATTGTATGTGCGTGTGTGTGTGCTGCCATGTGAGGCGCTTGCACTACAACAACAACAACAACAACAACAGCAACAACAAACAGCTGTCATAATGCTAGCAACAACAGCTACGAGAGCGACTAGGAAAAAATGAAAGGCAACAAGCGACAAGAAAACTTTAAGCAATTAAACAAAATTTAGACAAAAAATAAATAAAAATAAATAAATAATACAAGCCGAAAAAGCAACAAAAGCAAAGCCCGCAACGATAACAAATATTTGGAGCATGGTTCTAAGCGCAACAACAAGAACAACAGCGTGAAAGAAATATAACAAATAAAACAACAACAAAAGAAGCAAAACATAAACGCACAAGATTCGTGTTTAATATTTATGCGTTTGCTAATTTATTTTACAATAATTTTGTATTAACCCAAAAAAAAACAAAAAACAACAACAAAAACAACGCGCCAAATCAGCGAACGACAAGAAAAAAAACCAAACACAAACAAACCAAATAGCAATAACTGCAACAACAACAACAACAACAGGCACCGCGTTGACAACAGCAGCAACAACAACAGCAACAACAGCAACCGCAACAACGCATGCGTAACTGTTGTTGCCTCTGCGCTCTTCTTCACTGCCGCCGCCGCCGCCGGCGACGACGCCTTCTTCTTCGTCTTCTTCTTCTGCTTGCGCCTGGGATATAAAGCAGTTAAATGTAAGTAGTTGTTGTTATTTCTTTTCTTTGCTCTTTCTTTCGGTTTATATACATACATAAATATTTTATTTGGTTTTATTATAATTATTGCCTTTTGTTGGCTGTGCAAATTGAAAACATGTTTTAAATGCAAATTCAATTAAATTTCGCCGTTAAACAGGGCTGAGCGAGCCAGTGAGTGAGAGAGAGAGAGAGAGAGCGAGAGTGGGAATGGGAGCGAGATAGGGCTAGAGCATGTCGGATTAGGTGTGCGCTGCTTGCCATTTGGTAGCTATCAGACAGATCCTTGCCGTTATCCCTGGGCCAGGCCCAGCAGCTGCTGTGGCCTTTGACCTTTTCGCTAATTGCAGGCGCGATGCAAACGCCGCGGCGCCGCGGATGTGATTGCGGATGTGATCGCTGGCTGTCCGGCATCAGCTGCGGCCGGTTTTCGCTGACGAGATCGCATCGAAATACCAAGAAATGCTCACTTGATTGGAGATTTTGCAATGCAAAGAGAGTGCGATTACTTAAATCTCTTTTGTCTTTCCGTTTTTATTTTGTTTTTATTTTTTCTTTTTTCATGCATAAATAAATTTTTTTTTTTTCAAATATTTCAACTGGTTTTTAGCTGATCAATCTTCAGGCTTGATCATCAACTTGTGCTTCGAGTTTTTTGCCTTTGGTGTGTTTTTCAACAACTTAACGGTTCTTAAGTTGTCAATTGATGCTTTATAGCTATTCATATTGATTATTTTAAAGAACTTAATCAGTTATTATTTAATATAACAGGATTCTGAATTCTTGGAAGCGATCTCTTGGGATGTACCTGAGTTAGACCTGCACTCAATTAAGTCTAAGTAGTAGTAGAAGAATTGAGTAATACTTTCTGCATGTCTCAGTTATCAAGTCTATACTTAAATCTAGATCATAAACTTTATATAAATCGACTTTGATCGGCTTTAATCGCAGCTCAATTCACACTAAATCCTTTAGTAAAGCTCCCTCTCTCTGTCTCTCTTATGTTGCTATGTTGCTATTCCAAGTCACGTAATCCCAGTCCAGCAGTAATATTAACCTAAATCGATAGATGAAGAGTTTTCACGGCCCATTGAACCACTTGACTTTGGCTTGGGTCTTATCAGAACAAAAGTCGCAAAATGGAATGAACATTTGGCAAAACAACAAATTCTATTATTTATATAGCTAATGATCATGACAACGATGATGATGATGACGACGATGATGATGATGATGTCATTGGTGTTATCAGTGGGTGCGCGAGTCCCATGGGTCTATATGCATATATGTGTGTGTCTGTGTGTGTGAGTGTGTGTGAGTGTGTGTGGCAAACCGATCATTTCCGCTAGACAGCCAGACAGCTCGACCGCCCTCATATTCCCAGTGAAGCATCTAATGAAATTTAACATTTGGCTTTCGGCATTTCGGCTCTCAGCCCCCAGCCCTGGGAATTACCAAAAATTGTTGACATCCGATTCACAAAAGCAGAGTTCAAATGGTTTTCCACCCAAAACTTCGTGTTTAGGCATTAGAAAGTGTTACAAACGGCACGCAAATCAAATTAAGTACTTTACACACACATACACTACCTCTCTCTCTCTCTCTCTCTCTCTCTCTCTCTCTTACTAGCACAGTTAATAAATCAGCAACGAAACACGAACTCATTTTCGTGCGGCTCTCAATTGCCCAGCCTCCGCCGACTCCTGCTGCACACCCCAGTCGGACTCACGCCGTGACCCAGTCGGATTTTGCCCACTGAAATAGTGGTATATGTTTGCATACATGTGCATGTGTATGGGTTGCAGCCCACGAGGCGCTCGCAGGCTAAACGCATTTGCCAGTTCGCAAAGAATGCAAAGTACGTGCCTTTGGAGCGCTGCGCCGTGACCTCAGCTTCCGTTTTGTATTACTGCCAATCGGCCAGAGTTTTGGTGTTAGCTTTTGATTTCGCCTCGCTTGTCCAGCGAGCAGCTGCAATTCAGCTAATGCGCTGCCAGCTGCACGAATTCTGTAATATTCGGTTACAGCAAAAATATCATCAGAGCGCGAACAGAGCAGCGAAATATATTTGCTCTCTGTCTGTTTTCATTGTTAACGAGCGAAGCAGAGGTCAAGCGGATCGTGTAGCAGAAAAAAAAAAAAAAAACGAATAATAATAAAAAAAATGTTATATTGAAGCAGACAGAATATTCTAGCTTAAAACTGATTGATTCTACAGCATTTTCTGCTTTTATTCAATATAAAAATATGATTTTAAAAATAGATAGATATTATATATATTTATTGTTCTTATACACAGGGTAAGGCACTCAAAGTGCAACCTATTTAAATGGTTATATTCTCGCTTTACAAACTAATTATTATATACATCAAAGTACCACATGTCTGTAAAAATTTTTTGAAATTTGGAATGCATTTACTTTGGGTTAATATGAGTAACTGTTGCCTTAAGACGATCAAGATCTCATTTTGGAGATTGCTAAAACTAATACTTAGCATCTTAGGAGTAAAATATATTATATAGACTGAAAAGAGATTGTACAACTTATTCGATATATGTATATATTATAGATATCTATCTATACCAGTATCCTCCATGAATTTCAATTTGAAGATTGTTAAGGCCTTAGCTTAGCCTGTGAAAGTAGGGCATATATAGTATGGGTAGTTAGACTATATATATATATATATACATACATATATATTGCATAGTAATCTATGTTTACATTCTCATTCTCTCATTTCATTTCAAAGGGATGATTACATATAAAGCAGATAGCATAAGAAAATCTATATATATCATAGATATTTATGTTTCCAATATCCTTCTCGAATTTCTATTTGAAGACTTTTAAATCCTCTGCTTAACCTGTGAAAGGACTATTTCTATCTATCTATGTACTCTCTCTCTATATATATATCTATTCCATAGTTATCTATGCTTACATCATCATTCTCGATTTCATTTGGAAGATTGCTAAGAGTTTAGCTTAGGGATATCAAAAGGCATAGTAAAAGAAACAGCTCTGGCTCTATATACCTATTGCACAGATATCTCCATTTACATCAGCATCCTCGCTCTCTGTAGCTGTAAAAGTTATTAGCTTCATGATTAGCATTTTCCATGGTAATGCACTGATGAATCGATAAAATCTTTTACTATTGATGATTTCGTATGGTACAATAATAACAATGGATGTATTATTATAATAAATGCTATGAATATATTTGTTTGTTATTTTCTGTATAATTGTGAAAAACTAAATATATAAATGAATCGCAGCTGTTAATACTTTTAGCCACTTGTGGACCGCAAACAGTTATCCTAACTGTTTATATAAAGTTCAAATCCAAATTGGATAACGCACTTGACCTTTCCGTGCCACCTGAACCGCAATCGGTTTGTGTTTGTGTGTGTGTGTGTGTGTGTGTGTGTGGGTGAGTTGGCTAAATTGAAATGCCAAAACGCAAGTGGCCGCTGCTTAGAATCCCCCATAAGCGGGCTCCAGCTGTCCCCAAGCTGCGCTAGCCATGTGCAGCGTAGCGTTGCAAGAGTTGCTGCCGCTCTGCCTCTGCTGCCGCTCTGCCTCTGCTGCCGCTCTTCTTCCATCCACTGGGCAGTCAGTTATTTGAGCATGAAATGCCGTCACAGGGTGACTCGGGGCCGGCTTGTGCCGCCGCACTGAGTCATCGGCGTCGCCCGCTTAAGCCCAGCGAAGCGTCAAAGTGTCGACGAACGTCGCGAGGAGCAGAGCGAGAGAGACAGAGAGAGTGTGCGAGAGAGAGAGAGAGAGAGAGAGAGGGAGCAGGCAGGCAGCAGTCGCAGCAGGAATGGTAATTGGCCGAGGGGTAGGCGGAAAGAGGCGGGGAGGGGTTGGCTGATTTGATTGCGGCAGCGCATGTTACGCTTTTGTGGTCATTGTTGTTGTCGTTGCTGCTGTTGCTGTTGTTGTTGTTGCTGCTGTTGCTGCTGTTGCCGGCAGCAAGCGGAAGCAGTAAACAGTTTGGGGCAGCGGCCGCCTAATCGCCAACGATCGACGCAGCTAGCTGAGCACTGGCTGCCACAATTGGCCCACAGGTGCAGCGGTTGACTGCCTCGTTTGATGCCTATAGTGCAACAGCAGCAACAACAACAGCAGCAACAACAACAACAACAGCAACAGCAGCGGCTATTACAATGCGACTTTTTTTTTTATTGTTTTCATTTGGCTTTGCTCGTAATTTACATTACACTCCATGGCCGACAGTCGTCGTTTGTCTTTCTTTATGATGCCTCCACGTCTTCGTCGTCGCCGACAACGAGAGCGACTGGCGGTGGGAGGGGCGTGCCGCGCAGGGGGCGGTGGTTGAGCGAAGCAGACCTTCTTCCGTTGCTGCCGCTGCTGCTGCTGCTGCTGCTATCACTGCTGCTGCTGCTGTTTCTGATATAAGCCAAAGCTCAGTCGACGTCACAGCTGAATGCGTCGCTGCTACTTCCGCTTACAGTTGTTGTTTCTTTCATTCTGCTTCTTCTTCTTCTTCTTTTATTACACTTTATTACACATTTTATATTCCGTTTTCATTTCTATTTCTACTGTTGCTGCTGCTGTCGTCCGTTGTTGTTGCTGTTGTTGCTGCTGCTGCTGCTGCTGCTGTCGCTTCTGTTGCTGTTTTTGGTAAATGATTTAATTATTTTAAATTTGTGTTGCTGCTGTTGCGTTTTTTTTTTCGTGTTTCTGCTTTGCTGTTTACTTGTTTCTTGTTTGTGTCAGCCGCATTTGCATGTGCGACCAGCCACGCCTCCCCCAACACACACACACACACACACACACACACACACACGCACACAGGCGCGCGCCCACCCTTGGGTATGCAGGGGTATTGCTTGGCATGTTATTTGGGAAAGCATAAAAATAAACTGAAAATTAAACGTTGTCAACCGCAAATGTGACAAGCACTTAATTTTCATGCATGTAAAGTGCGACAAGTGGAGGCCAGCATAGCAGGAAGGCAACCGGCGA